ACAGATTTGTGGGGTTTTTTTTAAATTTTTTTTGGATGATGGCTTAAGATACTGAAATGATAGGCTTTTGGCTAAGGATCGAGTGCATCTCACTAGGGAAGAATGTGGTTGCCTGGAGACTTGCCGATCTGATCAAGATGACTTTAACTGGAAATGGGGGTGGGGTGCAAAACATGCCTATATCAGACCATAAGGCCAGATACTATAGAAAACAGCAGGCATGTCAGCGACAAAAAGATAATAGTGAGAGACACCCAGTGATTTGTAGAAGAAAATGACTGGGAAGGAAATTGGGTATGGTGCTTCCAGCTTCAACTGTCAATGTGCCAGTGTGAAAAGTGAGAGCAGAAAACAAAGCAAATTGGGATTTTTAATACAAAGAAATAAAAATAAATCAAAGATATAACTAAGACTTAGAAGAAAGGGATTCATAACTGAAATATACTCATGGGCACTTCTAAAGACATAAATCTGATAGGATTCAGGTTACCCACCAGTAGGAAGATAGCCCTTTGCCCACCTGCTACAAATTTGTGTCATCCTAAGAGTAGGTTAAGAACAGAGAATTAGGGGAGGAAATACTAAGGGAAATTCAAGAATTGTGGAAATTCACCATTTGCTCATTTATTTAGTGCCCTGCACTCATGATAGGGCAATGAACAAGTCAGACAAGATTCCTGTTCTCATGGAACTAGTATTGAGGGTAAATAAACAATAAACACATGAACAAGTAAATTAACAAGATAATTTCAGATAGTGAAAAGTTCACCAAAAAAAAAATAAAACTGATATTGAAAGACAGAGAGGAACTATTATAGTTTGGGTGGTCTTGGATGGCCTATCTGCAGAGGTGACTTTTGAACTGAAATAAGATCAAAAAGGAGGATAAACTATGCAAACATCTGAAGGGAGAGCATGCAAGCAGAGGAAACAGTGAAGGCAGGACTTGCAGCAGGAACAAGCTTGACCTGTTGGAGAAAATGGAAGATGACCATTATCCCAGTTTTAGTTCTCCCAGATACAGACCCCGAGAAAAGAATTTGAGTGCAGGTAGTTTATTGGGAGATGTGGGGAATACCAGTAGGTCAGCAGGAAAATGACACAGGGAAAGAAAGGCCTCTGGTAAAGGGTATGTTAATAAGCCAGCTACACAGTGGGTAATAGTCTTAATACCTCAGGGAAATGCTTGGAAATGGACAAAACATGGGTCGAAATTACCTCACTCAAGGAGTACGAGAGTTGAAGTACTTATGCTCCAATTCCCAAAATCACTGGTTGATCGCTGTTCTCCATGAGCAGATGACCTTCCAAGCCTCCAGAAAAAGCAGCCAGACACAAAGATACAGACACTGGTCAATAGAAAGTAAAAGTGCCCTGAAATGACAGATCTGAGGGATATGAGAAAGCATTGACAATGTCTGCTATACCTAGTAAGCCTGGGGCAGAGTCAGAAAAAGGGCCAGCTGGAAAGTCAACCAGGGGCCTAATCACCTAGGACCAAGTCTAGTTGCAAACTAGAGGCTGGCAGAGGAGTGTGATTTGGCCTGAATAATGTTTTTTCTTGTTTGTGTTTATTTTGATTTTGTTTTTATTTGCCAATAATTAAAAATCAGAAGATCTCACATCTAAACCTAGATTTCCAGTTCCCTGGAGAAAAAATGTAAAGATCTGATAACAATGAGTCCTCATTTGGCAAAGTGACAATCTGTTGGAACTGAGTAGCAGATCCTCATTTACATTAGGGCCATGTGCCATTCACTTAACCAGTCCTTAAGTTTTGGATCAGTGTCTAGGCATTGTAGGACATGAGAAAGAGTTAGGGTTTCATCCTAGGAGTATGGGCAGGTTTCAAGCTGGGAATTGATACAATCCATTCTGTGTGCAGAAAGAGTCAAGAGTAGAAGCAGGTAGACAAGAAAGGAGGCTATGGGAATAGCCTGGGCAGGAGATAGTCGGGTCTTAGAATTGGGTTACAGTAGAGATGAAAAGCAATGAAAAAATTCCGCATATAATTTGGAGTAGATTTGAAAGAATGTGCTGATGTAAGGAAAAGGAGGTAATTAGGATTGCACCCATATTTCTGGTTTTAGTGTATATGTGTATAGTACTATCACTCATTGAGATTGGGAAGACTGGGAGGAACTGGTTTGAAGGGAAAACCAGAAGTTCTATTTTGAACATACATATTATGTTTGAGATGCCTATTAGACATCCAAGTGAAAATGTGAAACAAGATATATGAGGTATCTCTTATATATGAGGTCAGGAGAGAAAAATTTGGGAGTTATCAGATTATAGAAATGAGAATACACCTTCCATTTCTGGCAACATTATATATGAGATATACTGACAATAACTTCCTCCTATAAAACACCTAGAAATACTGTATAAAAGATAACAAATATTCTTTTAAATACATGGCTGAGCTCAAAAGGAACCAAATGAAATCCCCAAGAGTCAAAACAGGAGCCAAGCTTAAAAGAAGAGCCCTGGGCCGATGCTGCTTTATGAATACCCTGGAGGCAACTATGAATTACTAGCCAAGTAGAGATTGAAGAATTTGGGGTTTGTTTATTTTGGATCCTTTTTGGTTGAAGGAGAGGTACACCACCAAACATCACATTATTCTTAAAAAAAGGCCCTATGCAGTTTTGTCTTTGGATTTACTTTTAGTATCATCTAAATTTTAAGCAATTACATAACCAATTTTAAGGTAAAATATCAACAAAATTAAAAACAACAAAAATTTAACGTTAAAATACCAATGTCCTCTCATGACTTATTTTTTCCATATACAAACCTGGAGCACACTTATTTTCCTAGTGTCTAATACAATTTTTAAGGTAAATTTTTATTGAAGTATAATATAAACAGAAAAGTACATGTATCTTAGTGTTTGGCTTGATGAATTTTCTTAAAGAGGGCACATTGTATAACCAGCACCCAGATCAAGAAACAGAACGTTACTCCAGAACTTCTCCCACCTTATAGCCTACTCCTGGTTACTATCTCCCAAAGGTAATGCTGTCCTAACTTCTAACATCATAGATTAATTTTATCTGTTTTAGAACTTTATAGAATGGAATCATATAGTATGTATTCTTTCATGTCTGGCCTCTTTCATCCAATATTGCATTTGTGAGAATCATCCATCCATGTTGTAGTATGCAGCAATAATCCATTCATTCTCCATTGCTGTATAGTATCCCATGGTGTGGATATACAACTTATCAATTCAACTATTGATGGACATTTGGGTTGTTTTCAGTTTGGAGCTACTGCAAATAGTGCTGTTGTAAACATTGTCTTTTGTCTTATACATGTCTATTGATGGACATATATATGTAATTTCTATTTGGCACATACCTAGAAGTGGAAATGTTAAGTGATAAGATATGCATATATTGAACTTTAGTATATCCAGCCAGTTTTCCAAAGTGTTGTACACTTTGTACAAATTTATGCTCTCACTAGCAGTGTATAAGAGTTATAATTGCCCTATTTAATTTTAGAATTTTAAAATTAAGTGCTAACTTAATTTTTTTATTCTTTTGCATTTTTGCCATTCTAGTAGGTATGAATAAGTATCGCACTGTGGTTTTAACTCACACTTCCCTGATGACTAAAAAAGTTAAGCACATTTTTATATGTTTACTGGCCATTCGGATATTTTCATTTTTCTTTTAGGTTACTTTCCTTTTACTTATTGATGTGAAAAATGATAGATGATAGATACAAAATTTTTTGTTGGATATAAGTAACACTTGTTAATGATATTTTTTAATAAACAGAGGTTCTTAAATATAATGCAATGTAACAATACTTTCTTATATGACTAGCACTCTCAGATCCTTATCATAGCACCTTTGCTTATCTTACCAATTTTCCCACTGATCTACTGGTATTCCCTATATCTCCCAATAAATTAACTGCACTCAAGTTCCTGTCTCAGAGTCTGCATCTGAGAGAACTAAAACTTAGTTAATGGCCATCTTCCATTTTCTCCAACAGGGCAAGAATGTTCATTATATATTTTAGATATTAACCCCTTATCGGATATATCATTTGCAAATATCTTCTCCCATTCAGTAGATTACGTTTTTGTTTTGTTGATGGTTTCCTTTGCTGTGAAGATCCTTTTTATTTTGATGTAGTTCCAGTAGTTTGTTTTTGTTTCCCTTGCCTTAGGAGACACATCTAGAAAAATGTTACTACAGCTGATGTCAGAGAAATTACTGCCTGTGCTCTCTCCTAGGATTTTTATGGTTTCAGGTCCCACATTTAGGTCTTTAATCCATTTTGAGTTTATTTTTGTGTATGGTGTAAGAAAGTGGTCCAGTTTCATTCTTTTGCATGTAGCTGTCTAGTTTTCCCAATACCAGTTGTTGAAGAGACTGTCTCTTTCATTGCATATCTTGTGTGATGCTGTTTTTATCTGCTGGTTTTAGTTGGTGCTGCTGGAGCTTCCACTGGCTTTTGTTGGTGATGCTGAGTAGGCAGAAGGAGTTTCCCCAGGCTATTGCATAAGGGTGAAGAGTACCTCCAATGCTACACCACTTGTGGAATCCCCCTTGCCCAGGCCACCCAGCTACCTGGTTTCTCTTGGTGGGGGCTGGGAGTACCAGGCCTGATGAAGAAGAATACTTCTTCTGGCCCCTTATTATCAACTGATCTTCCCTGTTGATGCTGTCAGTTTCATCTGGAGTTGTCATCAGGATTCCCATTCCATCTGGGGAAAAAGAGTGAATCTACTTGGGCCTCCTTTTGTTGCTAGGTAGGGAATCAGTAGACATTAGGCATGGGTAGCCTTCTTCTTTTGGGTTCAATCATAAAATGTCCTGTCAAGATTTCCTCCAATCCTGGGGTCCTTTTCCATCTTTCAGAATTCTTTTTTGATTGCCCCTTGCATTATTTCCTGGGTTTATCTTTTTTTTAAGATTTTATTTATTCATTTAAGACACAGAGATATAGAGCGGGGGGGAGAGCATGAGCAGGGGGAGAGGCAGAGGGAGAGGGAGAAGCAGGCTCCCCGCTGAGTCAGAAGCCCAATGCGGGGCTCGATCCCAGGATCCGTGGGATCATGACCTGAGCCGAAGGCAGACGCTTAACCATCTGAGCCACCCAGATGCCCCTCCTGGGTTTATCTTATCATTGAGTCTATATCATCTTGTTCAGGAGAAACAAGTCTATGCCATCTTAGGCCCCTCTCCCATTTGTTTTCTTTTTTTTAAATAATTTTTGTTATTATATTATGTTAGTCACCATACAGTACATCATTAGTTTTTGATGTAGTGTTCCATGATTCATTGTTTGCATATAACACCCAGTGTTCCATGCAATATGTGCCCTCCTTAATACCCATCACAGGGCTCACCCATCTCCCCACCCCTCTAAAACCCTCAATTTGCTTCCTGGAGTCCATAGTCTCTCATGGTTCGTCTCCACCTCTAATATCCCCCCCTTCATTTTTCCCTTCCTTCTCCTAATGTCCTCCATGCTATTCCTTAAGTTCCACAAATAAGTGAAACCATATGATAATTGTCTTTCTCTGTTTGACTTATTTCACTTAGCATAACCTCCTCCAGTTCCATCCATGTTGATGCAAATGTTGGGTATTCACCCTTTCTGATGGCTGAATAATATTCCATTAGATATATGGACTACATCTTCTTTATCCATTCATCTGTTGAAGGGCATCTTGGCTCCTTCCACAGTTTGGCTATTATGGACATTGCTGCTATGAACATTGGGGTGCATATGGCCATGGAGAAAGGGGATCCCATTTGTTTTCTTCTAATTTTTTCTATTTATTTTGTTGAGATTCTCTTCATTCAATTATTACAGCCATCTTTTCCCTTTCCTGTTTATAAAAAACCTTTAAAGTCCTTCTTTACCAGTTCTAAAATATGACTTATCTCAGGTTGGTTTATATTGACTTCTGTTTCTCTTGACATTGGGTCACATTTTCTTTTCTTCACATGTTGACTAATTTTTTTTTAATTTTATCTTTGACCTTATGGATTATACAGTGTAGGGGCTGTAGATTTTATCTTCTAAAGAGTGATTTTTGTTCTAGTGGACAAATAAATCACTGGTTGATAATATTGAACTTGCGGGGGCATGTTTTTATACTTCTTTAGGGTGTATCTGTTTCAATTTTGCCCTTAGTCTTAGGGTAAGTCCCTAATCTTTGGAAATAGTCTCCTCTTCAAAGTCAAATGTCTTCTGGGATTTCAGTGGAAACTTTGGGATATTTACCCTTTTACTTGGCAGTACTCAAACTGTAAACCCTGTCTTCCCTGCAGTGGGCAGCAGCTAAAATCTCTGTTAAGGATTTTTAGCCTTCTAGCTATTGTTTTTTGTCAGGTCCTTGGAGTACCCCCAAACATGTTAAGTTCAGGGTTAATCAAGGATATTAGGAGCTCCCTCCATAGTTCCCTTTTTACCAGACTTCTCTTTGCAATTCTCAGCTGCTTTGGCAAGTACAAACTCTGTTTTCTGATACTTCAGGCAAAAATGATATGATTTCTGCTTGAATTCAAGGCATTCTGTGACACAAGAACTGAGGATGGTTCTCAGGGGATAAGACATATAATTTTGGATCTCAACCTATGAGATTCTCTTCTTTTTAAGAGTCAAATATCTTCCAGTTTCTGCCTGGTTTTGTTCATTCACTCTCCAATGCATTCAAGTAGTTGGTCATTTTTCAAATAGTCGGTTAAAAAAAAGATTAGTCTAGAGTTTATTATTGTTATCTGTGGGAAGGCTAACTGATACAACCTACTCTGCTATTACTGGAGCCCAAACTCTCTCTTGCCCTCTCATTTAACTCAGAGCCTCATTATCTCTGATCTAGGCTATTGTAATAAACTCCACAATGGCTCCATGCCTCCAATTGCTCTTGTAATCCATGCTGTGCATTATGGTCAGAATGATTTTTGAACATACAAATCTGATCCTCGTACCTTCTGATTACAATTCTTAAGTGCCCTTAACCCAAACCTGACCAGGTTCGTGCCTATCTTTTCAGCTTCATATTTGGACAGCTGCTCATCCCCCCTTGATATCTATGCTATAACCATACTGAATTACTTGCAGTTTCTCCATTATTTCCTGCTATCTTGTTCTAGGGCTTTTGAACGCTGCCTTTTCCCTGATATTAAAACCAAAAAAATGAAGAAAATACACTGTGATAATAATGATGACAGACAACATTTATTGAGGGCATTCTATGTGTCAGGTGCTTCACTAGCAGTTTTTGCAGTATTTTCTTATTTAGTTTTTGCAACAACCTTATGAAGTACATACCATTGTAATCCTCATTTTGCAAATGATAAAACTGGCTCAGAGATGGTACATGGAGAGCAGGATTATTCTAGAATCAGACTATGCTCTACTGTCTACCACTCAAGCAAAGTATACTTATAGGACTTAGAACTGAAAGTACTAAAATTGCCCTTGAGAGTTAAACTGTTGAATTAACATAAGATGAATATTAACAGAGATATGCAGTGACATCTTAATAAGACAGAATGGCTCCCTTGTCAGCAAGGCTTGACTGTAACCTGATGGAAGTCATTGGCATATCTAAAGAAATAATGTGTCAAACAGAAGGGCAGCTGGTCAACTATGAATGCTACATAGAAAAAGCCACAGAGTCAAACATGAGCAGCTCCCTCCAGACACTTTCCAAAGTATATAGTATCTTAGCCTAAAGATCTAACCCTGATAACCAGCATACTTATTGTGGAGAGGTAGATATCCAGGTTTCTTGGCCAAATATTTTTATAATTAAATCATATAACTAGTTTCCTTCACTTTTATTCCACGCTCATTAGATAAGCTTCCTGTTGTAATTTTGACTTCTACTAGTCCTTGCCTATGGGTAAGAAAATGCACAGGTAAGGTTTACATGTATGTTTTGCAACCATGAAGGGAACTGGACTAAGAGAACATGCTGAGAATGGTATCATGGCTAGGAAAAAATGAGGGACATATCTGGATCCTATAGGATATTACAGAGTCACTGAATTAAGCAGCCTGGAACCATCCCTTCACTAGAGTTCTTGTTGTGGGTGAGAAAGTACATGTTCTTTATTGTTTACATCTGTTGACTTGGCATTTTCTGTTATATGCTGCCAAAAACCTCACATTCCTAATGTATGTCCTATAAAAGAAAAGCCACCTATAGGAAAACTGGTGTGCTAAGGGACCATCTAGATTGTAGTTATAGTAGGAGATTGATGGAATGTTTGTAGAAGCTGAGCAGATTTGGCTGGTCAAAGGTGTGAGTTCCAGAGGGTACAGTAGAAAGATTTAGGCTAGATGAAAAGAGGGGAGGTCAAGATCTGATTGGTTAAGAGGAAGTATGGTGTAATACAGGGAAAACATCCTGGTGATAATGATGTGCTGTGTACTACCTGTTTCCTATCAGTTTCATGCTATGTTCTTCTGTAAATGATATTACTCAATTGTCTTTGCCAACTGGCTTTGGCTAAAGGAAAACACTGATTGGAAATTGGAATATGGAAGGAAGTATAAACAAGGGTATTTTCCCTTCTCTCTCCTTTAAGGAGCATTGTCTGGCAGTGACTGCATCTTCCCCCATGTTTCAGATCCCCATCAGGTATCTCCATCACAATCCCAGATTCCACCAGCTGGCCTTGGCTTTACCTAATCCTTGTGGTTCCTCAGCACAAGAGATGATAGAGGCTTCCTGCTATGACTAATCTGTATTGCTTTGCTACCCTCCATTTGGCTTCTCAGCTCTTTCATAATCTGTGTTACCAATTCCCTATATTAAAATTTCTGTTTTATTCTTTTTCACAGTAGCCCCAAGAACTTTAACATGAGTTACCCTTCTTAGAAATCTTTTAGTCCATACATAATAAAAAAAAATTAAAAAAAAAGAAATCCTTTAATCACCCAACCAGTTCTTAGACCCCCTCCCCAAACCTCCCCAGCTCTCTCCACTTTCCTCTCTTTTCTTTCTCCCATCCCCAAATCCTGCTCATCTCTTAATTAGGGGTATAAGTGTTTTTATTTTTTTTTTAATTTTTAATTCCAGTTAGTTAACATACAGTGTAATATTAGTTTCAGGTGTACAATATAGTGAGTCAACAATTCCATACATCACCTCATGCTCATCACAAAGGTGCATTCCTTAATCCCTATCACCTATTTAATCCATCCCCCCAAACCTTCTCCTCTGGGAACCATCAGTTTGTTCTCCATAGGAAAGAGTTTGTTATTTGTTCTCTTTTTTCCCCCTTCCTTGTTTGTTTCTGACATTCCACATAAGAGTGAAATCATATGGTATTTGTCTTTCTCTGACTGACTTATTTCGCTTAGCATGATACCCTCTAGCTCCATTCATGTCTTTGCAAATGATAAGATTTCATTCTTTATATGGCTGAACAATATTCCATTGTATAAATAAAAGAAATGGTAATTTCTTTTTTATCCACTCATCAATCAATGGACACTTGGGCTACTTCCATATCTTGGCTATTGTAAATAATTCTGCTACAAACATAAGGCTGCGTGTATCCCTTTGATTTAGTGGGGTTTTTTCTAATTCCTTGAGGAAATACCCAGTAGTGTGATTGCTGGATCATAGGGTAGTTCTATTTTTAACTTCTTGAGGAACTTCCTTACTGTTTTCCACAGTGACTGCAACCAGTTTGTATTCCCATCAACAGTCCAAGAGGGTTCCTTTCTTTGCATGTCCTCACCATCTGTTGTTTCTTGTGTTGATTTTAGCCATTCTGACAGGTGTGAGGTGAGACATCACTGTAGTTCTAATTTGCTTTTCCCTGATGGTAAGCGATGATGAACACCTTTTCATGTGTCTGATGGCTATCTGGATGTTTTCTTTGAGAAAGATGTCTGTTCATGTCTTTGGCCCACTTTTTAATTGGATTCTTCATTTTTCAGGTGTTGAGTTTTATATGTTCTTCATATATTTTGGATACTAACCCTTTATCAGATATGCCATTTGCAAATATCTTCTCCCATTCTATAGGCTGCCTCTTAGTT